GAAGGAAGAGGAGGGAGGGGAGGGGGGGGAGGAGGAGGAGGGAGACGAGGAGAAGGAGGGGGAGGAGGAGGAGGGAGAGGAGGGGGAAGAGGGAGACGAGGAGGAGGAGGGGGAAGAGGGAGAGGAGGAGGAGGAGGGGGAAGAGGGAGAGGAGGAGGAAGGAGAGGAGGAAAAGGAGGGGGAGGAGGGGGAGGAGGGAGAGGAGGAGGAGGAAAAAGGGAAGTCATGGTCTTAGCCCCTGGTGTTTTCCTCCTGAGGCTCTTGTTGCCTCTGAGGCATGGACAGTTGTTCTTTCCAGGAGCAGAAACATCATGGACTTGTGTCAGGTCCCAAAGTATGTGTCTATTTGATCATGTGACCTGTCTCAGGCATGTTCTTTCCATCTCTTTGGTCTCAGTTTCCCCATCTGTGCAGCATGTGGGGTATGGATCCTACCCTGATGCTTCAAGGTGCTATGCATGGCCTGTAATCCTTACCTCCTCAAGGACAAGGACCCCCTAGATGAGGTGCACCCAGAAGGGGCTGTGAGCCTCTCTAGAAGGAGAGCACTACAGTGCCCCACCTTGGAAGAACTTCTGTGCAGTGGCTCTCTAAGTTCCTCCCCATTCAAGCATCTGTCTGAAGTCACAGTTTGTGATGAACACTATATCTGTAACTAAAACCTTCATGTGTTTCTTTCTTCAGGCATCTCCAAATCGGCCCCTCCCAACGTGCCTCAGCTCTTTGCAAGGTGAGTGTGCAGCAGACACGCCCCCTCTCCACCTTATTTTTTGAGGCAAGGTCTCTTCACTGAACCTCAAGCTCACGGATTGAGCTAGGCTGACTGGCCAGTAAGCTCCAGGGATCTACCTGTCTCTCCCTCCCAGTGCTGAGATTATAAACGTGTGTCACTGCACTATTTTTCACATGGGCTCTGGGGATCCAGACGCAGGTCCTCATGCTTGTAAAGCAAGCACTTTACCAACTGAGCCATCTCTCCAGTCCACATTTCTCTAGGTTTTAACTTAAGTCCCAGTTCAATCCAAGTCCATTCAAAGGACTTTGATGGGAAACAGGAGGGATGGGCTTGGGTTCTCACCTTAAACTTCCTTTCTATGGAAGGGTAGGGTATGACCCAGGGACATCTTGAAATACGGGCCTCTGTTCTGCAGGCAGTCCCATCCCACAGACCAGCATCCCACTGGTTGAACCATAGGTACCTGCAGAGCTGGGATATAGGCTGATGAAACACCTTCCAGAAGCAGACCTGGCGTCTGCAGCTCAGATGAGCTTTGGGCTCTTGCGATGTCTTTTGGCAGAAGTTCCCCAAAGGAATCCCATAGGATAACAGTGAAACCTCTGGAAAACAAGAGCACATCTGTTTATGATCCCATGTACTTTTACGTTTGATTTACACCTGCCGTGATGCTTCAGATCAGGGAGAACCCGATAGGCTTTGTGTCTGGCTAAAAAATATATTGGTAGGTGGACGGGTTTTTGCTAAAATGATGCAACAAAACCAGACCCAGCTTCAGGCTCCCGTCCCTGCTCATAGTATGTCCAAGCTGTGGAATAAACACAGGGGGTCAAGTTCAGCCCACTATGGGTCTAGTGAGTCCCAGGAAGTAAAGGGATTCGGGGTGTGTCCTCTGGAGCTGTGACCATCTGGAGTTTTGGATGGATTAATTTCTTTCTCAGCCTCTGTTTCCTTTTCTGTAAAATGGTGATTAAAAAAGTGAGACCCACTACTGCCTTCAGAGCTGGTTTCACTGAGCCGCATGAAGTGATCCAGACGGAGCCTGACCCGAAGTGGGAGGGGGATCGCCCCCTGCTTTAGCATCAGGTGGCACAGTGGGGACCTTGTAGACAGAGGTGTCTTCATGTAAAGACAGTCTAGGTGTGGTCATAGAAATTCCAGATGACAGTGCTGGACCCAGCTGCCCAAGCACCTGCCATCCAAGAGAAGTGTAACGCGTGTGTGCATCTGTATGTCTCTTTGTGTCTCTGTGTCTATATGTCTGTGTGTATGTGTGTGTGTGTGTGTGTATCTGTGTTTGGTGTGTTTATCTCTGTATGTCTGTCTGTGTGTCTATATGTATATCTCTGTATGTTTGTGTGGTGTGTATCTGTGTGTATGTCTCCATGTATCTGTGTATGTGTGTCTCTATATGTCTATTTGTGTGTGTTGCATGTGTATCTCTGTATCTGTGTCTTTCACTGGTTTCTAAAATGTCAGCAATTAATTTAAATTAGGGGGAAAATAAAATAACTACACTAACCAAAGCCGTCCCATTCATGGGTCCTTGGACCAAACAGCCCATGGGCCATTCTTTACACCTTTGTGTTAGAACAGCTCCCCTTGACTGTGTCTCTTGTGACCCGGAGGACTGGGCACATGGGGGTCCTGGGAGACACAGTGAGGCTTATAAAGTCTATAACCCCAGCACTGGGGAGGCAGAGACAGGAGGATCCCCAGAGCTCATTGGCCAGTCAATCCAGCCAAACCAGTGAACTCCAGGTTTAGTAAGAGACCCTGTCTCAAAAAACAAGTGTACAGTGGTCAGACACCAACATAAAACTGCAGCTTTTATGCATGTGCACACATGTGTACACCCACACAAGATGTACAGGTACACACACACGGATGGATAGTCAGATGGATACAGGCTCAGGCTCTGCCACAGTAACAAATAAACCCAGAAGTGTCTACACCAAAGGCTTTCTGTTTCCCACATGAAATCTGATGTGGATCTTGTAAAACACCCCAGAGGGCTCCTCTCTTGCTCAGGTTGACACAGGGATCTACTGTCTTCATGTTAAGGCTTTGCTGATGAAAACTTGACCTTTTCCATGGCTGTCCAAAGAGGGAGGGAGGGAGGGAAGAAGGGTCACAGGAGATGACTTTGTTGTAGAGCAGCTTACTATGTACCTGCCCATGTCCTGTTGGATGAACCTGCCCATGATTAGACCCTGCCCCATGGTAGAATCTGACTGCAAGGGAGACGGGACCACATCTCTGAAAAGAAAATGAAATGCATGTAATGGGCTCTGGGAAGGGTGAGGCCCAAGGGGAAATGGTGGTTGTGACCTCAGGATCCAGGAGGAGGAATGCTGGGCAAGGCCAGGAGACCTAACCTTCTCTCCTTCCACCAGGCCTCACCCACGTGTCCCTCCTGGCCAGCCTTCTGCAGCCATGGCAGCCTACGGCCAGACGCAGTACAGCACAGGCATCCAGCAGGCACCGCCCTACACAGCATACCCACCTCCAGGACAAGCCTACGGGATTTCTTCTTACAGTGAGTACCAAGCAAGCCCTTGTATCCCCCTGGCATCCCTTCCTGCCTCAGTGCAGAATGATAAATGCAGTCAGACTAATCTTGGCTGGAGAAGAGATGGTGGAGTGTGACTCAGATTCTTCTAGACCATTTCATAATACCTCTTTAGATAGCAAGAGTCAGAGCACTCATCCAGGCTGGCTTATGGAAAATGAGAATTTAGTGATTCACATCCTGGCAGATCTAAGGTAGGACTGGAGCCTGGTGCTCCAATGACATCATGAGGGACCGATGAGATGGCTCAGTGGAAAAAGCACTTGGCACACAAGCCTGATGACCTGAGTTCAATCCCCAGTACCCACGTAAAGGTGGAAAGTGAGAACTGAGTCTACAGATTTGTCCTCTTCACACACACACACACAGCATACACCATAACATCATGGGAAATGTGTCTTGCTGCATCGTCGGGTGCCTCCATTCCCATGGAAGTTGTCCCCATGGAGCAGCACAGATAGTACCTATAAACTTTGGTCTCTGAAGGTGATCCGAAGGTACTTCCAACAGTGCTTCTCACAGGAGCCGTGCTGGTCCTCACTGGCCAAACTGGGTCATGTGACAATGCTTAGCAAGGCAAGGAGGTGGGGTGAGGGAGCTAAGGAGGCCAGATTCTGTGGGAGGAATGGTTCTCTCTCTCTCTAGGGCAAGCACAGTTAATGTGTTTGTCACCCAAGCATGAGATGAGGACCTGAGTTTGATCCCCAGGCTGGGTGCACACACACCAGCATATGCATGAACATACACACACACACACACACACACACACACACACACACACACACACACACACACTTTCACATCTCTAACATCTTAGAACACATGCTCAGGAGCACTGAGCCCACACTTGGAGGTCAGGAGTGTGTGGCTCTGGATCGGACTGTTTCCAGGAGACACAGTTTGCCACAGTCCCCGTCCAGCCCATTGTCTGCCTGTCCCCAGAAAAGACATTTAAGGTGTCAAACCCTGTGCTGGAGGGAGAAAAAAAGAGCAAGTGGCCCTAGCTGGCCTGGAACTTGCTATGCAGACCAAGCTGTCCTCAGTCTCACAGAGATCCTCCTGCCTCTGCCTCTCAAGTGCTGGGATTAAAGGTGTGTACTACCATGCCTGGCCTTAGAACAATATTTTAAAGTTATCTGTAATGCAAATATAGATATGACACTCTAAGAACAGAAAATAAGGAAGACTTATTTTAGGCTCCTGGGCCAGCCTTTGTTCTAATTAGTTAACTAACTAATTAACTATTTATTTATTTATTTATTTATTTATTTATTTATTTATTTATTTTGGTCTTTTTAAGACAGGGTTTCCCTGTAGTCCAAGCTGGTCTGGAACTCACTATGTAGACCAGGCTGGCTTTGAACTCACAGAGATCGGCCTGCCCCTGCCTCCTGAGTGCTGGGATTAATAGTGTGCACCACCAAGCCCAGCTCTTTTTTGTGTTTTTTAAGACAGAGCCTCACTATGTAGCCCTGGCTGTCTTGAAACTTACTATGTAGACTAGGCTGGCCTTGAATTTACAGAAATCCACTACCTCTGCCTTCTAAGTGCTGGGATTAAAGGTGTGCACCACCACAACTGGCATTGGCTAGCCTTTTAAATTTTTGTTTTATTTTATTTATTTTATTTTATTTATATGAGTGTTTTGCCTATGTGTAAGTGCACCACATGTGTGCAAACGCTCATGGAGGCCAGAAGAGGGCATTGAATCCCCTGGAAGTAGAGTTACAGGCAGTTCTTAGCTGCTATGTGGGTGCTGGAAACTGAACCTGGGTCTTATACAAGAGCCACCAGGGTTCTTAACCACTCAGCCAAGTCTTCAGCCCTGGCCAGTCTTTTAAATGAGCAGTTGAGTACTGGACTGTGACTCACTGGTAGTGCAGAGGCCCTGGGCTCCATCCTGGGTAGGGCGTAGAATTAATGAGGCACAAGTTGAGCTGAGACAGAGTGAGCTTGTGCAGGCTCAGGAGAGAGAGCATCGCTGCAGAGCAGAGGTGGGATACAGGAATTTGACTGGTCCCAAGAGGCCAGCCTCTGGAACACAAGGGGAATGCAGGTGGCCAGGTAGCTTGAGCCTTGCAGGCCCACAGAAGATTTGCACTTTGTTCCAAGTGGGACGGAAACCAGTGGAGAGTCTGTGAGCAGAGGTGGTGTGCTACAGTTTAAGTGTTTAAAGATGACTTGGGCTAGGTGTGGCGGTTCACACGTGTCATCCCAGCTACTCAGGAGTCTGAAGCGGAAGGCAGACAATTTCAAGGTCAACCTGAGCTTCAAAGTAAGAACCTATCTAAAATAAAAATTAAAAAGGACTGTAACTCAATGATAGAGCACTTGGCTAGAACACCTGAGGTCCAGAGTTCCTGTCCTGGGAAGAGAAAAGAGGGGAGGGGAGGGGAGGGGAGGGGTGAAGGGAGGTGGCTGAGTCTGGCCTACAGTCCTGAGGTGGGGGAGGAGCGGAGAAGAACAGGAAGGGGGGAGGGAGGGGAGGGGAGGAGAGGAGAGAAGAGCTGTGTGCGTTGGAGACAACATACGAGGGTAGCAGGGAGGGCTCTTGGGAGGCTGCTGATGCTGGGGTAAGGATCCTGGAGCGAGAGAGAAGTCAGAGTCAGGCCATGACAGTGAACAGACAGTGACAGAAGGCACCAAGAGCATTCCAGAGGGAGAGGTGAAAGGTCCTGACAGGGTGTCAGGTGGGCCATGAATGACAGTCATAGCAGTTGACTTTTCCCCACTGACTTCACAATGTGTCCACCAACTTCTTTCATCCTACCTCAACCCCACAACATTATCTTCCTTTGAGACTTGGAGAAGATGTCTGGCTCACAGTCACCCAGCTGCTTGGTGGCAGCTGGATTCAGCTCAGCAGACTGACCACCCCCTCCCTCCCCCCACTGGCTAAACCAGGTCATCTGGACATGTGCTCTGTAAGCCCCTGGGAATGAGCTGTGACAGCCTTAAACTGGCAGGTGTGGGCTTGCTTGTCAACTGTCTTTCTTCCAATTCTAGAAGCCAGGTGAGACAGTCCCACCTGGCTCATGGCCCAGAACACCACAGCCATATTCATAAAGAGAAAAACGGCCCTACTTCCAGACACGACAGCACTGGTGGGAATTAATTTGCTTGGAATTTATTTCACTGTCTCAGTACGTTCGCAGCGTCTGTTCTCAAGACTATACAGGGTGGGTGAGGGGGCAGGAGCCTGGAGTTCTTCTGTCTGACTTCATATCCTGCCTCTGTCTAAGCTGGTCCCAAGCAACAAGCAACCCTGAGCAAACGACTTCATCTCCCTGAGCCTCGATTTTCTCATCCACACCCAGAATGATGTTAAATCTTCCTCCTCGGTCCTGGGGTGGCTGGAAGGCTTAAATAAAATCACCCACAGTGGAAATTGTCAAATCAACTAACCATAGAGAGATAGATGATAGTTTCCACTATGTAGGTTGTGTGGTCTCCATGGCGACCATTCAACTCTGCCATGTTAGCATGAAAGCACCCAGACCGTGTGTCTGTGGATGGGTGTGTCTGTGTTCTGATAAAACTTTATTTACACAAACAGGCAGGGGGCCAGGTTTGACTAACGGACCTGAGCTATATAAAAGACTTAGCCTATGGAGTCTGACCCACAGAAATGCTCCTGAGGCCAGCTGGGTCAGGAGAAGGTGGACGGGTATACATGCCTGTAGTGCCATAGCACAGAATAATAATGGGCAGATTTGGGAAGCTACTTGCTTCACCTACATTCGCACAGGTCCAGATGAGCCTTTCTGAGTCTAGGCAAGAAACTCTTTTCATTGCTCCTTGGCAAATAGGATTCTTGTTGTTGATTAAATAGCTACGGAGAAATGACAGAACCAAGCAAGGGTGAGGGCGTTAGGAGCACCCAGGATTGGTTTGGGGTTTGGTTTTGGCTTGTCATGCAGTATTTAAGACATGAAGAAAAGTATAAAAGGTGATAAAACAAATCCCATGAACTTAGAAAAATAAATGGCGGTGTCTACACTTCGTTCTCAGAGCTGTGCTGAATCAGGGGGTTGGGGTCATCGGCACCTGCTCCTCTCCTGTGAGTAGTCAGCAAACTCTTTCTGTAAGAAACAATAATGGGGGGTGAGAGATGGCTCAGTGGTTAAGAACACTGGCTACTCTTGTAAAGGACCTAGGTTTGGTTCCCAGCACCCAGGAACATTCATGCAGGGTTGTAGGAAAGGACATTAGATGGAACCTATACAAATCTGATTGCTTAATCAAGCAGTTTGGGGTTTTTTGTTTTTGTTTTTGTTTTTGTTTTTGACAGGATCTCCCTAGTCCCAGCCCTTCTGGAAGTTACTGTGTGGACAAGGCTGGCCTCAATCTTCCAGAGATCCACCTGCCTCTGCCTCTGGAGGGCTAGGCACATGCCACCACACCTGGTATCAAGCAAGCAGTTTTTAAGTTGAGTTGATTTAAAAATAAATAAATAACCAAGGTATATCATGGTCTCAGGAAGCAGAAAAGCCCAGCAGGAGGAGCAGTGTCCAAGCTTGGAAAACTCATCTGGTTTTCTTGTTGTAGTCACAAGATGCCTAACAGAAGCAGTTCAGGGCCTGGGCAGATGGCTCAGCGAGGAAAGTGCTTGATTTGCAAGTGTGAGGGCCTGAGTTCAATCCCTAAACCCATGTTAAAAAGGTAAAAAACAAAACAAAACAACAACAAAAAAAACAGGCATGGTGGTGTAATACTAGCCCTGGGGAGACAGAAACAGGCAAATCCTTTGTGGCAGAGACAGGCAGATCTCTGGAGCTCACTGGCTGCCAACTTGGCAAGTTCCAGGCCAATGAGAGACCCTGTTTCAGAAAACAAAGTGAATGTGCCTTAGGAATATCACCTGTCGTCCCCAGCCTCCATATGTACAGGCATATATGCGCACCCTGTACACACAAACACACACAACAGTTTAAGGGAGAAGGGGTTTGTTTTGGCTCACAGTTTGAGGGTACAGTCCATTGTGACAGGGAAGGCCTGGTGGTTAGAGCGTGAGGCAGCTGGGCACATGGCATCCACTCAGGAAGTGGAGAGCAATGAGTTCTGGTGCTGTTATCCCAATCCTGTCAGACTGACAATGAAGATTAGCCATCGCCATTCAGTGTTTCCATGAGAAACTGTTGGGGCTCAGAGCATGTTGGGCATTCACCCGAGACACATCAAAGGCCTGCTGTCTTACAACTGACCTAGATAGCGGAGACAGAGGCACTGCCCTCCGCTTAGAGCCCTCCAGGGTTCCATTCACTCAAGATCAAAGCCGGACATTTCCAGTGTGGGTTATCTGTCAGTTGCAAGACCCGGGTCAGTCTCTCTGAGCCTCAGTTTCCACATCTTTAGAGCAGAAAAACCTTGCCCATTCTGTGGGTTTCCTGTGCCCTGTTCAGAGCCTCACATGCCCGTCCTTCCCTCTTTTCATTTTCTATTAACCGTGCACCATGAGGAGGCAGGGCTCTGAGCTAGACTCGCAGTGGAAACTGTCCAGGTTGCCATGCAACTAAGCAATGTATCTAAGACTTCTGCTTGGAATGCCTTTGCAGTCCATCCCTTGTCTTGTGGGGTGACTGAGTGGGGAGGAGGGAAACCTTCTTACACAGCCATCTTCAGAACTAGAAATATTCTTTAACAAAACAGTCTAGACTGGAGTAAGATACTGGGTATTGCTTGTTTGAATTTTGGTTTGTAATTTTTTCCTTTCTATTATATGTGCATATGATGAGTGTGTGTTGGCACACCCATGCCACAGCACATGGGTGGAGGGCAGAGATCAACTTTGTGGAGTTGGTTCTCTTCCACCTTTACATGAGTTCTGGAGCTCGAGCTCAGCTCATGAGTCTTGCATAGCAAGTGCTTTATTCACGAGCTACCTCATTAGCACAAGATACTGTTTTATTCTTGGAGTCAGACAAGGCTGAGCAGTGTGCCCTGACGATTAGTTCAGAGGATGGGGAAGCAGGCAAACTCATGTCTTGAACATCGTCAGGCAATGCCCATGAGAATCTAAGATGTCCTTGCCTTTGAACTCAGCAATTCTAATGACTGGGAGTTTACACAAAAGGCACACACAAGGGGTGTGTGTGTGTGTGTGTGTGTGTGTGTGTGTGTGTGTGTGTTTCTGTGTGTGTCCTAGATACGGTGGCACATGCCTGGAATGCCTCTATGCAGGGAACAGAGGTAGGAGGGCTGCGAGTTTGAGGCCAGCCTGGTCTACAGAGCAAAAAACTGAAACGGCGGGTCGTGGTGGTGCACACCTTTAATCTCAGCAGAGGCAGGAAGACCTCTGTGAGATCAAGGTGGTGCTTAATGGTTAAAGCACATGCTGCAGAAGCCAGAGGACCAGAGTTTAGACCCCAGAACCCATGTAGTTGCTGGGTAGGTGTGGTGCCTCGCCTATAATTCCAGCCTCAGAAAGCAGAGACAAGAGCTCCAGAGCAAGCTGGTTACCAGCTAGACTATCCATATTGACGAGCTCTGGGTTTGATTGAACCTGCCTTAAGTGAAAAATCTATCAGGGTTGATTCCTAACATTACCCTCTAGTCTCCATGTAGACACGTATGTGCACCCACACACACATACCTGCACCCTTACACATGCAGGCATAGATATACACATGCATGCACACCACACATACACATGAAAATGGAAAAAGGGGAAATATGTATTATACATATATACACATGAAGTACATAATTCTTGTGTGCGTAGAACATGTCTGGACCTGAATGCAGAGTGGTCATACTGGCTGTCTTTGGGAAGGAGAGCTTGGGGTTAGGGATGAGGAAGGACACCTCTATATACCTACTGGACTACTTGAATTTTCTACAGTGTCTTTGTTACAATATTTTTTGGTCTCTTTGAGACAGGGTCTCCCTATAGCCCCAGCTGGCCTGAAACTCGCTATTTGTTACAATTTTTAATAAAAACTAAAAGAAATGGACTCCCAGTGCTGGGCTAGCCTCTCTTCCTCTGTCTAACCCTCATCCCAGCCAGTTTTCCATGCGGTTGTTTTGGGGTTTTGTGTAAGCCAGTGGGGTTCAGCTGGAGCAGAAAGCAGATGTTCGACTTCAGAGATGGGGTGTTTGGATAAGTAGGTCCCCATGAGACGAGGAAAGAATATATCACCATGGAAGGCACAGCCTCTGCAAAGGAAGGGGGCTGACTTGATACTGTCAGACTCCATCCTAGGGGACATGTGAGCCATGCATGGTGCAGTGACTAGGGACTGCAAACTCCTGTGCCCACAGACCAAGTAGTTAGCGCAAAGCTCATGGCTCATACAGCATGTGGCCCCCAGCTGCCTTCCCTCCACCATCCTCATAGTGCCCCAGAACAAGAAACAAACTTTGTTTAGAGAAAGTGCAACTGTGATTGGCGAATAGCATTTTAACACCGGACTCAAGTCACAGAGGCAGCGTGGATGCACAAGGGACATGAGAAACAGAAATGAAGGTCTTACAGGATAACCTGTCATCATGGGGACACGGACGTGGCATTGCTCGGCCATCCTGTTGGTTACAAGTCCATCCTATAAAAATCTCACGATTTTTGAATCAAACCAACAAGTATAGATTTTCCTTTAAGATATACAAGCCAGGGCTGGGAATGTGGCTTAGTTAGGACAGTGTTCACCTAGCATGCATGAAGCCCTGTATTCCATCCCCAGTACTGCATAAACTGGGTGTGGTGGCTCATGCCTGTAATCTGGAGGTGAAGGCAGGAGGACCAGAACTTCGAGGTCATTCTTACTACATAGTAAGTCTGAGGCAAGCTGGTATACATGAGACCCTGTCTCAAAAAAACATACACATGGACACATGCACACACACATGCACATTCACACAAGTTTATAAACAAGCTGACCAGCACTCAAGCAGCATCTGGTTTGGAGCCAATGAGAGTGCTCTGTGGACTCGGTAGCTCTTCTGTGGGTGACAAGGAAGGATGCTAATCGTGTCCTTGGTGCTTCTGTCCTTCCAAGGTATCAAGACGGAAGACAGTTTGAACCATTCCCCCAGCCAGAGCGGATTCCTGAGCTATGGGCCAAGCTTCAGCACCGCATCTGCTGGACAGAGCCCCTACGCCTACCCCGTGCACAGTGAGTGTGGTGCGCAGCCCTCCCGGCCTGCGTCTGGGGCACCCGGGGTGCATGTCCATCCATTCATTTGCCCACTTAGCAGACCTTCACAGTGTCTACTGTGCCAGATGGACAAAATGTGAGGTTTGCCCTGGCAGAATTTCATGGCAGGGATGAAGATGGGGGTGGGGACATGAACCAGCAGATAACTGGGTGATCCTGGAGGAGCTGACTGAGGAAGCAGCATGGCACCCACATAGAGTAACGAGCAGCAGAGGGCTGGGGAGAGATGGGACAGGTGACACTGGACAGAGGCAAAGATGAAGGGGAAAGCATTCCAGGCAGAGGGGATAGGCAATACAAACACTGTGTGGTAGAAACATCTTAGTATTGTTGAGGCACAGAACAGAGATGGTGACACTGGGACATAATGAGAGGAGCACTGGAGGAGGGAGCCTCGGAGAGGGTGCAGGACCTAAGTGCTACAGGACCAAGTTGTCTTGCATTTTAATATTTTTTATTTATTATTTTTATTTTATGTGTATGAGTGTATTGCCTGAATGTATGTGAGCGCACCTGTGTCGTACAATGCCGCGGAGGTCAGAAGAGGGCTTCAGATTCCCCTGGAACTGGAGTTAAGGACAATTCGTAGCTGCCATGTGGGTGCTGGGAATTGAACCCAGGTCCTCTGCAAGAGCAGTCAGTGCTCCTAACCACTGAGCCATCTCTTGAGATAAGCAAGTCCATTGAGACTTAGAGAAATGCTGGCTGGGGAATAATAAACAGGCAGGAAAATGGGCTTTGGTTCCAGGCACCCCATAGATACTCCTGCAAACCCTTTGCCCACTGCATGACTGAAGGAATGGATCTACTGGGCTCCCCCAGCCTACTTCCTCTCTCTGTGCCTCCCAGGGTCCTTTATCTGTTTGAAGACCCAGGGAGACCTGGGGTGATGCATGGACCAGGGGACTAATGGCTGTGACTCTGGGGATCATCATCCTGGTATTTTTCCCTCCAAATGAACTGGTAAAAATGACCATTGAGATCTGAAAAATAAAACACAGGAAGACAGACGGTGACCAGGTGGGCTCACAGGGGGCTGTGCTTGTCTCTGGAAAGGCTACTGGGAAGTATTACTATCTTCTCCCTACATTTTGATTGTTTTGTTAAGGATAGCAAATCATCTTTAGGGTGTGTAGAGAAAGGGAGTGGGAGCCATGTCCCAGGACCCAATAGGTGCCAGGTGGAGGTGGGGCCATCTCATAGAAACTTCAGGACACCCTGAGCATCAGTGCTGGTGTCACACCCACTTTCCAAAACAGGAAACCAATGGGTCCATGGAGTGACAGGTTTGCCCAGTGTCAGGACACGGACTATAGATTTTATTACAAGTGCAGTGGGAAAGGACAGTATGTCTCCTGGGACGAGGTGGCATCCCTCCTCCCAGCCTTACCCCAAAACTCTTGACCTTGGCCATGATGTCTCCTGCTCCTGCTCTTGCCCCTGCCTTCCTGCCAGCAACCTCTCTGAGTCCCCCTGGTGCGACACAGCTGCTGGCTCCATCCCTGAAGGCCAGTGAGCAGGGGCGCCGTATTCTTAATAAAGCTCACTGAGAACATCGACTTGAACTTGCACTTGGGTCCATCTCCAGCTCTTCAGATAGAAACTCTCAGCAGCAGAGAGAGGGCTTGGCCTAGCACTCAGCATACCTCAATCCCTAGGAGCCCCCTCACAAATCAAAGTGTCTCCTGTTTGTTCCCCACCTCCCATGAGAATGACATGTTATTTTTTCACCCTGGTCCCTGATGCAGAGTCTGTGTCTGTGGCTGCCTGGGGGCCACTGCGGCTATAGATTCTGCACGATGAACATAGTCCATTCACACACACTTCCCTGGCTGCATACTACATGACTTAACTTTTGGAGGTACTTCCCCATTCATTCACACATTCATTCACTTACTCGTGGTGTTCAGTACAGCACCTACTTTGTGCATGGCACCAGGAGCTCAGAAGTCAACAAAGACAGTTTCCTCAAGAGAGAGATGGCTGGTAAGCAATCCATTAATAAAGGAATAGTTACAGATCTCCTCATCAAGTCTGTGAAGGAAAAAATCAGGGCCCCCCGATGAATGGGACCAGAGGAGGAATAAGCACTACAGGAGCCGGTGGGGTTGGGGGAGTCCCAAGGCATGAAGAAGGGGCAGTCAGTGGGAGCCTGGAGCCCAGCGGCCCAGGCATGGGAAACAGCAGAGCAAAGGTCCTGGGGCAGGAGCAAGGCCAAAGACTTGGGTGTGTGGAGTGAGGGGAGATGGGAGACAAAATGGAGCAGGAGCCCTCCAGACCAGCTGCTGTTTCCTGGGGCTGTTCCTTCTCTGGTCACTTGGGACTGGCACCATCAACTGCCACCATGACCATCTGTGTCGCTGGACTCCTTTGGGACTCCAGGTTCCTGTCCTGTGCTCTGTGCTGTCATCTCTTTGACTGTCATAGTTGCCCTGTGACGAGAGAGCTATTGCTTCCTCCTCTTTCAGTGGAGAGCCCAGGGCACCAAAAGGAAGTTAAGTAGCTTAACCAAGGCCATGTGGCTGGGCAGCGAGCTGGAAGCCAGGCAGCCCCTCTCCTGCCTGAGCCCTGCACCATCCTACCCCGTCACACTTATAGAACCATCTAGAAGGTGACTCTCAGCAGCAGAGAGAGGGCTTGGCCTAGCACTCAGCATACCTCAATCCCTAGGAGCCCCCTTACAAATCAAAGTGTCTCCTGTTTGTTCCCCACCTCCCATGAGAATGACATGTTATTTTTTCACCCTGGTCCCTGATGCAGAGTCTGTCTGGGCTTCATCCCCTTGCCTGCCTTGGGCCTAATGCCAATGGCTATCAGGAGAGCTAGACCTCCTCCTTTTCAAACACATACGGGGCTCAGACCCCAGGCCCATGTGCTTCCTGTCAACCCTGAGCTGTTCCAGGGAAGGAAAATTCTCAAATGACTTATGTATTTGAGAAGGAAACGGGACTTAGCTCTGCAGAGAAAGAGGGGAGTGAGCAAATGACAGATGACCATGTGAGGCTGAAAATGTCAGTGGGACTGACCTCCCATCGTCCCATGGTGAGAAGCCTGGCTTCCTTTCTAAGAATTAGAATCATAATTTCATAGCTGCAAACAGGATAGAAGTAGGACCATCCCACCACTTTATAGATCAGTAAACTGAGGCATAGCAAAGGAGTCACAAGCATTGGGTAAACCAGGTGCCTCCCTTTCATCTTCCAGCCATTCCCAAACTTTCATAAAGCCACACCCCCACGAGACCCTAGTTGGCGATCTGCATCTGTGTGGGTAATTCTGCCCTCTGCCAATTGTACACAAAACAGAAGAGAAATGTCCACAGAACTCATTCCGCCTTCACATGCTTGTTTCTCTCTCTTTTGAGTTCCCCTGGAATTCTTTTGATGTTGTTGTAATGAGTTTACAGTTTTTTAAGACAAGAAGAATATATTGTAGGACTGGTTCTTTAGAAATGGTGGTTGACATGAGGGCTCGTATGCTAGTGATTTGATTAAGGAATTGATGTTGGGAAAAACCACTAATGGACTTCAAGAAAGCAAGATCAGGAAGAAGGCAAGCAAGCATCAGTTCAGTGGGCTCTCCATTGCCTGAAACTGCAAAGGAACTCTGTAGTGAGAATTAGGCTTTAAAATCTGTTCTAAACAGAAAGAGGAAGCAGGAGTTTCATATCCCATAGTTATCATTTCTTGGCAAAAGTTGAACAGTCATTTGATTTCAAATACCCTTGACAACAAAGTGATCCCATAGCCCATACACCTGTCAGTAACAAAGCATTCAAGAGAAGTACTTGTAGGAAGGGTCAGGGTTCTCAGAGTATCAGGTAAGTACAAATTATCTGCTGGGTGTCTATAGCATGTGATGAGAACTCCCAGAGAGTGCTCCGGATGCTATGATAACAAAGAGGATGTTATGGGACAGGGAAAGCTTTCTAATAAAATGAATTTAGAGGATTGGAGGGCACTGATGGGGGTACTAAGTGAAGAATAGAAGGAGAATTTTGAGGTTGAAAGGAATCCAGTGTCATATGATCTTGGGGGAAAAAAAACTGGAGTTATATAGTGAAGAGATAGAAAATGTTATCTTTTAAGCCTATCACAGTATTAAAATAAGAGAACTCCAGCCGGGTGTGGTGGTGCATGCCTATAATCCCAGCACTTGGGAGGCAGAGGCAGGCAGATCTTTGTGAGTTTGAGGCCAACCTGGTCTACAAAGTGAGTTCTAGGCCAGCTGGGGCTGCAGAGAAACCCTGTCTCAAAAAGACAAAAAAATAAAATAAGAGAACTCTTAAGCTGAAATGCCCCTCCTTCTGGGTTGACCTTTGCTGCTCCTGGCTTTTCCTGATAAAAGTTACTTGCAGAAATGACAATAGAGGTTAAAAACATGAAAAAACACCCAGCAAGTGTGTGGCCAGCGAGACGTTCCATGCCTCCGTTTCCTCCCCTGTGGCACCTGTGTTGTAGCCGGAATGATGATACAATGACATCCATGGGGTCCCCACAATGGGCTCTTCTTTCACATTTGGTTGTGCACCGTGGCCGGTTCACCATCTCGAGCGGGAAGGTCCAGTTAGGATGAGTTGATGCCCCTGTGCCATGGTGCCAGCCCGTGACCCGAGCCAAGTGACATCTCAGTGCCTCAGTTTCCTTCCCTGTTAAGTGGGGGGTGCTGACAGTGCCGGCCTCATAGGGCGCTTTGGCGATTAGATGTGCTATGTATAGGACCTGTTTCCAGCAGCTTACATCACAAGCTAAGTGTTCCCCAAACTCCGCTAACCTAATTTGAGCCTTGCTGGTCCTTGCCCTTCCCAAGTTCAAGTCTGAGCCCTTGTTTCAGTGAGTGGTTGAGAACAAGGAAAGAGGAATGATAATTTGAGGGGGAGGATTGTCCATTGGGGACCAAGTGCCCTGAGCATTCTCTCCAGTGGAAACACATCTTGTCCACCAAAGTTTGGGAGCAGC